AGAACACACTGTAAAGTGAATGACTATATTTGTGGGCGAACGCAGTAGCCAATTGCGCACAGCAATGTCCCACAAACAGTCGTAGATTGAAAATGACCAATTTTGTTATTGTTTTTGGTTTTGGAGGGATTATTATTAGGCTCTGTGTGGAGTAAGGAAACTTGCCCAAGGTTTCGCCCTCTGCCTGGAATTGAACTCAGGTCTCTCACTTGCAAAGCGAGTGCTCTAACCACTGAGCTACAGGACTCCACTTCCTCTGGAGGCTTGGGGTCTCCAGCAGTAAACCAACGTACACTCTGGGGACCCTAAGCCTTGGCTCTTGCCAACCTCAATCTAATACTCTCCGGAATCAGGTAAACAGGAGAAAGTGCATATTCCATTTCCAAACACAAGAATTTGCATATGGGTAAACAAAACACAAAATACTGCAGATGCTACAAAACTGAAACAAAAACAGAAGTCGCTGGGAACACTCAGCAGGTCAGGCAGCATCTATGGAGAAAGGAAAGTGAGTCAACGTTTCTGGGTCCACGACCCTTCATCAGAACTGGGGCATGTTGGGAGGGAGAGGGTTTTAAGGGCTAACAGAGAGGGGGGAGGCAGAACAAGGAAGACAAAGGAGAAAATGGGGTAGAGGACAGGGGATGATGGGTTAAAGGAGTTTTAATGATGCAAAACAAAGTGGGGGTTGCAACAGAACAGGAAAAGAGATGTTAATAATGCAAAATAAAGGGGGGGGAAATTGCAACAAAATAGACAGACCAGAGAGAGAAAAGGTGTGTCTGGGACCCAGATGAAGTGGTAATGGTCACAGATGAGGGGGAGGGGGAAGGTGAGCTAAAATTGTTAAAATCAATATTGAAGCCAGAGGGCTGTGAGGTCCTGAGCAGATAAATGAGGTGCTGTTCCTCGAGCTTGCGCTGTGGCTCTTTGAAACAGCATAGGAGACCATGGATGGAGAGGTCAGAGTGCGAGTGGGAGGGAGAGTTGACGTGTTGTTGAAGTCCCCTGTCCTCTATCCCATTTTCTCCTTTGTCTTCCTTGCCCGGCCTCCCCCTTCTCTGTTAGCCTTAAAAGCCTCCCCCTCCCAACATGCCCCAGTTTTGACGAAGGGTCGTGGACCCAAAACATTCACTTACTTTCCTTTCCCTATTTGCATATGTATGTTGGATTCATGGAACTCTGCTTGGTTTAGATTCTCTCAGGCATGTTATAATAATAATAATCCTTGCATTTGATATAGCGCATTTCTTGTCTTCTAGACGTCTCAAGTGCTTCACAGAACATACTGTAAAGTGAATTGACTGTATATTTGTGGGCAAAATGCAGCAGCCAATTGAGCACAGCAGTGTCCCACAAACAGTTGTGGATTGAAGTGACCAATTTTATTGTTGTTGTTATTCTTGAGGGATTATTATTAGACTTGTGGAGTGAGCAAACTTGCCCAAGGTTTCACCTTCCTAGGAAACAAACCCAGGTCTCTCGCTTGCAAGGCGAGTGCTATAACCACTGAGCTACAGGACTCCAAGCGCATGTTGATGGATTTCCACATATGTCAGACACCTTGCTGACCAAAAAAAGATTATTAATAATAATAATCCTTGCATTTGATATTGTTTACCGGGACACTGGGAGAAATTTCCTTCTCTTTTTGAATAGTGCCATGGGATCTGTTATATCCACCTGAAAGGGGAGATTTCGTACAGAGTATCATTCTTGGAACCTTAGTTTTCAGTGTTGTTTGAGTTAGTTTAGTGTTAGTTTGTTTGATTTTCACAAAGGATGATTATTGTTTTACCTAGCTATATTTATACAACTTCACCCACAAAACACACAATCACTGCACTTTACAGTATATTTTGGGGATGTCTCCAGAAGTGAAAGGCGCTATACCCAATGTAAGGATTATTTTTTTTATGTTCAGGTGCACCAGACTCGGCCTCAGGATTGCGTATAGACTAATGTTGGTAGAGGTCTTGTTCTTAACCTTGAGTGGTGGAAAAGTTCCAGAGGAAAAGGGAGATACTATTATAAAAAGAAGTGTTGGCACATTTAATTTCACAATAAATAAACTTGATTTTCCTTAATGTCACAATGGATTGTCAAAATCAATTCTCACTCTCCTCGAAAAAGAACCTAATGTACTCTTTCCCTTTTATTAGTTTGTGTCAATCCCCTATCTCTAAGTTTTAACAAGTACATTTTACATTTTATGGCTGCTGAGGTTTTAATGCCACCAAATTCTTTGAATATTTTTTGGAGGCACATTGAATTGACAACATGACCAGACCCATGATCAACCAAAGTGTTTCACTTTAAGTTTGTACTGAAGATTAATACCGCCTAATGGCTGCAGTAATACTTTAGCTCATTCATTGGTGACAGCTGCATATAAATGCTAATCTTGAATCACATTTTATTCTAAGATCAGTTTGTGGCTTGGTTTGACAACTTTGCTCACTGAGCCCGTTATTTGCACCACACCGTTGAAAGGATGCTCCAAAAATGGATCAGACATCTTTCTGAAAACACAAGTAGAAACCTGGTGCTTTTTCAGGACTACAAATATCGTTTGCCCCCAAAATGCAGAACCTACACTTTACAGTAAATCCTGTGAAGTGCTTCGAGATGTTCTCCTGACAAGAAAAGTGCTCTATCAAATGTAGGGATTATTATTATTATTATTTTTATTATTATATACACTTGTGGATAATCTCTCTCCTCTTCATATTTGAATGTGTATATGCTTTGGCCAATGATGAAGGAGAATGCTACTGTTTCTGCACCTGACTTCAAGTTTAAGTTTACATTGTGACTTGCAATTACACAACGCATCTGACTTCTTGCAGCAGTTGAGCACAGTTAGCACATCGAGAACTGCTGCAACCTGTATATTTTGTAGTCAGTCTCGACAACAATTTGCACACGACAATGTCCCACAAACAGCCATTAAATGAATGACCAGTTTAACATGGGGGATTGCTGGCCAGGACATTGAGAGAAAACCTTTCTCTTATCGTGCCATCGGATCTCTTACATCCACCTGAACAGGCAGTTTAACGTCTCATCGAAAATACAGCATTTCCAACTATTCTGGGTTCCCCAGTTCTGTATTGAAGTGTCATCCTCAACTGTGAGCTCAAAGCCCGGTGTGAGGTTTTTACCCACTCCACTCTGACTCAGAGGTGAGAGTGCGACCAACTGAGCCAGGCTGAAACCTCATGATTCTTTCCTCCATAATTTTGGAATTGTTGATATGATTCTTAGGATTTTAGTACTGTTTTAGGAGTCTTAGGGGTCACTGTTGAGACTATTATGAAAACAAGTGCAGATTTCTGAATTGCCCCCTCCCCCACCCCACTCAGCTCTTCGTCAGAATTGAGAATATGGTTCTATTTTGAGTGCAATATGCATTATCTTGAAGATATGCAGTAACTAACTTTATTTTTAATTGGCCCAATCCTTGAAATCTGCATCCAATCTTCAATGTCCCCAACTAGTGACTCTCCTCCTTGGGGGAGGTAAGCAGGGTCTCCTAGGAACTGAGTTGGCTTCATGGTAACAGGCTTGACAACAGAATGTCAGAATCGAGTCAATCCTCTGACAATCTCAATACCAGGCAGGTCCGCAGGGCAGTGCTGATGACAGCACAGCCATTCTGGATCATTCGTTGGACTTGGAAGGGCAGACCAGTGACTGGGGACAGGCCTCTTCCCATTCAGCTCCTGTTCACTCTGGACGACAAAGCCCTAACTTGTAGGTAGGGTGGTCCTAGCTGGAGAAGCAACGGGAAAGCTTTCAATGCAAGCTGTGCTGTTTTAGCTGGTTAAACCCCAGCAGTACTCCCAATGCTCTCTCTGGGGTTCCTAAGCCTTGTCAAACCTCACCTTACATTCTCAGAAGATAGGTAAGAAAAGTGCATCGCTCCAGAGAGAGAGTGGCATTTCACCCACAAAATTCACGCTTCACATTATATTCTGTGAGTGCTTTGAGACGCCTCAACGACATGATAAGGAACCAAATCAAATGCAAGGATTATTATTATTCTATCTTTTGGGTCCAACAGAATATCAGCCAAACTCTGATTCAGCTATGCTGATGCCATGTAGCCGACTGAAAGTCTTTGGCCGCAGAGTCAACCTGGGCGAGACTTGGGCCAAGTCCATGGCGAGGGGTGGTTTCTTTTCAACAACAGATTAAACTTACTCTGCTCTTGGTAACAGCCAATTCTCACCAGAGAGAAAGCTGCGGGTCATAATCACACATTCTCCCCACGTGTACAACTGGTCAATCAGAAAAGTAGAGGCGAAAGAAAAACGCAACATATCTGAAATTAAAAGGAGCAAATGCATAACTGAATAAGCCATTGAAAGAGAAAGATAGGTTAGCATTTCGGGTAAAACTTTTGACAGAAATGTTCTGCTCTGACGAAACATGTCCTCTAAATCCTTGACCTATATTTTGGCTTTCAGACACTCATTGACCTGACAATAAGAAAACTATTTCTGAGCGTTTGTGACGGAGCAGTGTACCTTTCGTGAAGTGCTTTATTTTGTGGTCTGACCAGCAGCTGGCAAAGCCATCAGGGCAACAGCAGACAGATAGGAATTACAAGCTGCCTATAGCTGTTAGCCAAAAATTGGGCGTTTGAGAATTGAGAGTTACAATAATAATAATAGCAACAACAATAATAATAATGATCATTTTCATAATTGAAAACAACTTAGAAACTATCTCTATAGAGTGATTTAAACTAAGATAATAATAGTTACAATAATAATAATCCTTGTATTTGGTAAAGCATGTTTCATGTTGGGAGGACATCCTAAAATGCTTCATGGGATATATTGTAAAGTACAGTGACTGTATTTTGTAGGCCAATGCAACAGCGAATTTGCACACAGCGCAATTCTGAGATTTGCAGCATGGGCCACTTGAGGAACTTGAGGATTTATTGTTGTTACTTTGCTCCATGTTAATTGTTTGGATTTATATTTCAGGAGGATGAAGGGTCGAGCACCAGCTCCTCCTCCACAGCCTGCACCACGCAGGTCACTGAATGCAGCTCAAAATCTTCAGGTTGAGCCAGGCCCACAAAGCCCCGGAGACATGAAAGAAAACCTGTTGCCTAGGACAGTAGATATATTGGTTGTCTTGTCAAATGGAACAGTAAAAAAGGCTGAAGTGAGTGGAAGGTAAGTCGTGAATTTAAAAAAAAATCTTTTTACTGCTTTCAGCCAAAGACCTTGATGCACAAATCATACTTGAAGCAATGGGAAGTGAAGAGGCATTCATAGAAGAAAATTGCAATTAGCACAAGGATCTGAAGGGTTGGCGGGGCATTACAGGTTATGTGGAAAGAGCTGGAAAGTGGGATTAATAAAAGAGGCAACTTTTTTAATATAAAAAGAGGCAGCTGCGGTAAAGATGCAGAAAACGTCCCCCTTCTGTGTTGAAAACATCTATGATATCAACGGCAATATCATCTTTTGAAGAGCGTAAGCTGTGCTCATTTGCTAGGCTAAGTTAATTTAGCAAGTTTGGTCAACAAAGTATAGCTGTAGAGTTTGTTGCATGTTATCCAAATGTAACATCTGTTGGTTGCTGTGCTAAGCCAAGTATTCAAAGTCATTTTCACTTGGTAAGGTAGCAGTCAAAAAATGAAATTTTAATAATCTGGCTCCTGGTAGTTGATATTTAAAACAGTAAGCAGATGTGAAAGAACACCATGACTGAAAAATATTATTAAACACCAAATTCAATCCTGGTCTCTGTTGGTTTCAGCAAAGGCTTGTCTGAGGGAATTAAAAGCTGTTTATACTGTCAGAGTCTTTTATTCTGCAGTTTGGGTCACGATGACCCAATTTGAATACCATCTCACCAGGGTTTATAGCAAAAAAAATTGTGCAGGGTCAGATCACATAATGAGAACGATTAAATTACCAACAACACGCATGTCCTGACTTTTGATTTGGATCTTAAATCCACAGGAGATTCACGTCAGTCCTTCACAGTGGTGCAATACTGGCTTTACTCTTTACATTCTCTGATGAATTAGAGGGGTAGTGGTGGGAGTCTGCTCTCTGAAATGTAATTGGACTAAATAACTCCCCACTGTTTTATTAATCGTCTGGTTCCTGTGCTGCAAGTTTATAAGAAATAAGAATTTTCAAACAGATACAGAAACAGGATATCACAGTGAGTCCCATTTATTTATATGGGTGCTGGGGGGTGTTATTAAAATCCAATAGTTGGGTCAATAAAATTCCATCCTGAGCATTAACTGTAGATAGCTATATACTGTTGTTATAACTGACTGTGATCGCTGCTCAGCACTTCCGCTTCATTACATGCCAGCAGATAGACAGTTGGCTCCATTGGCATTACAGAATGCATGGCTAGGGTGCGGGCTGCCAAAATGGCCGACTCCTGGGTCAGACGATCACTGTCACTATCATGGGTGTCGTGGACACGGGCACACTGTGCAGGAAGTGGTGTCAACGGAGATCTTGTGACCTAGAAATTGTCATTTGGACTTCCTGTGCGCCAACCCGTTTTTTGAAGCACTGATGGAGCTGGTGCAAGCATTTGGGATTTTTTTGCGTAACTTAAATGTCAGGGTCCACACCGCAACCAAACTATAAGCAAGTACTCATTGTAATGGAATGCTTCACAAAAGGTTTCTACTGTATTTTTCTTTGCCGTTTTATGTGACTGTTTTATTAACAGATTGTCAAGGTGGGCTTTCTTCCTTCAGAGACCAGTGCCGAGTGACATTTTTATATCTACCCCACATTTGTGCCATGACCTGCTCTGCCTTCCCCCACTCCGCAATGTCGCCTGGCTCCACCACTGTCTCACAACGCAGGTCGCCGAAATTTTCATACACGCTTTCGTTACATTGAGGCTTGACTATGCAAACTCTTTGCTTGTCGGCCTCCCAAACTGTTCGCTCCACAGGCTGCAGATCATCCAGAACTCTGCAGCCCATGTCCTCTCCTGCACTAGGCTCAGTAACCCTATCACCCCCATCCTCACCCAACTCCACTGGCTTCCCATCACACAGAGGATACAGTTCAAGATTCTGGTCCCCACCTTCAAAGCGCACTACAGCGTGGAGTCCTGTAGCTCAGTGGTTAGAGCACTCGCTTTGCAAGCGAGAGACCTGAGTTCAATTCCAGACAGGGCGAAACCTTGGGCAAGTTTCCTTACTCCACACGCCTAATAATAATCCCTCCAAAATCCAAAAACAATAATAAATTGGTCATTTTCAATCTACGACTGTTTGTGGGACATTGCTGTGCGCAATTGGCTGCCGCGTTCGCCCACAAATATACAGTCAATTCACTTTACAGTGTGTTCTGTGAAGCGCTTTGGGACGTCCTCCTGACGTGAAAAGCGCTATATCAAATGCAAGGATTATTATTATTATTATTATTACAGACTTGCTCCCCCCTACCTCTGCGACCTTCTAACCCCCTACCATCCTGCTCGCTCCCTCCGCTCAGCGGGCTCCAGCCTGCTTCACGTCCCCCGCCTCACTTGTCCCACTATTGGCGGGTGGGCCTTCTGCCACTCTCCCCCCACCCTCTGGAACTCCATCCCGCAATCCCTCCGTCTCGCCCCCTCCCTTGCCTCCTTCAAGACCCATCTCAAGACCCTCCTCTTCGACTGTGCTTCCGATCTCCCTGCCCTCCATCCTCCCCGGCCCCAACCCCCAGCTCGGGTCCATAACTCTGTCCAGCGCCTTGGGACGTCCTCCTGATTTGAAAAGTGCTATACAAATGTAATTTTGTGATTGTTGTTATATACTCTGCATTGCGTTAGCATCATCCACTCTAGGGCAGGATTTGAACGTACTGTTTCTTCTTTCCAATCATTGACCAAACCTTGGGATATTTAAAATATATTTCCAAACTTATAAATAATGTTTGGAAAGAAAACTCGGTTCAGCCACTGGTCTGTGTTCTGAAGAATGATTTTCACTCTTTAGTTTAAAGAATAGATAGGAACAGCTCCACTGGCTTGTCAGTTTTGAGCAACTTGTTTACAGCTTCCAGCAAGCCTCTTGAGTCCACAAGATGTTTTTCATTTTCAAAGCAAACCCTTCAATATCCTATTAATCTCTAAAACTATGAGCATAATGGGAACCAGAGGAGGCAGTAAAAGTCTTACAAAAAAAGTTTGATAGAATTTGCTTGATGGGCTGATAAGTGGCAAATGAAGTTTAGTGTAGGTAATTGCAAGATACTGCATACAGAAAGTAAGAATAGGAGGCATAGCGGAATAGAAGTTGCCAGGGGGAAGCTGAATGAGATCTAGGGGTGTTAGCTGATTCATCGCTCACTATGTGAAACCTTATGAGGCAGCAATAAAGAAGGCAAACATGATTCTGGCTATATTGCCAAATCAGTTGAGTTCAGTTCTCCCAGAAGTCATACTCAAGCCATATGATGCTCTGGTCAGGCTGCACTGAGAGTACTACATAGAAGTCTGGTCACCGTGGTAAAGGGGGCTGCCCAAGCAACAAGGACAGACCCCAGTGTTGGAGAAATGAGCTTCGAGCAATGATTAGACAAGCTACGGCTCTTCAATCTTAAAACAAGACTTCTAAGAGGGGACCTTATAGAGGTGTACAAGATTTTCAATAGGATTGAGAAATTAAACTCAGAACAATATACCAAGACAGTAGAACAAGAGGACATAGGTTTGGAGTTGCAAAGGGAAATTTCAGGACAGATACTAGGAAGTTTTTCTTTATGCAGACAGTAAATAACGACCGGAACAGGGTTGCCCAGAAGGGTTGTTGAGGTCAGGATCCCGAACATAATTTTAAAAAAATCTTGAAAGTATGTGGGGAGGACAGTAAGATGTGTATTCTGGAAGGATGAGATCAAATGGGCTGAAGGGCTTTCTGCATCTAAATCTCTCTTGTGATCTAGTGTTAAAATACTCAATGGTGAGGGGAAGCCTTGCCACGAATGNAAAAAAAAGTTGAATGAATCAACCATCAGTAGAGACAATGAGAAAATCTGCTTTGTATTAGTTTGTAAATGGTTCTTGTGCTGCACCATTGATACCAATTTGCTTGATTTTGTTGGCAATTTGCTGTCAAATGTGCAGCACAGTTGGGGGAAGTCATATAGTGTGCATTGCGCTGGAGCCCTGCTCCTAACACCACCTCAAGAAGATAGTTTCAGGAGTTCTGTGATTTGCACCCACTCCAGTCGGAATATGTGGGGAGGGCTTAAGTTGCAGAGGCTGCTCCGTTGAGGCCTGTTGGCCATCCAGACGACTCATAAGACGTGTACAAGCCATCTTTTAAAGTATTCTGAAAGAGGTAATCATACAACCAACCAGGTTTAAAAAAAATAAAAAGCCTGATTTTAGTATTCTTACAAATTTGAAGAATTTGTCCTTTCCCGCGCTAGGCTTTGTGAGCTTATCACCCCCACCTTCACCCAGCTCCACTGGCTTCCCATCACCCAGTGGATTGAGTTGACGATTCTTGTCCTGAACATTAAATCCCTCCATGGTCTCCTCTTACACTAACTCTGCGACCACCTCACACCCTACTGATCTGCTGCTCCCTAAAGGCTAAAAAGGCTTCACATCTTCTGGCCCCACTCTCTGGAGCATCATCCTTTCGACTTCATTCCATTTTTAATTTGCGATAGTTTGTATCGCACATAATTATTACCCTACCGTCTTTTGCCTGACACTTTTATTTGCTGCAACAATGTTCTGTGAACAAGTTCATTCAGCATGATGTTCGGCAACATTTTTATGCTGTGAATCATTGGTGTTGAACCAATGTCAGCATTTATTTCAGAGCAATTAAACAGCTTAAATATGTAAGCGTTGTTGAATTGAATGTGTTACAGACTGAAAATAATATCTTGTATAAATCAAATTAATTCAGCAGATGCTGCTAATGAACTCCAGCTTTTTGGTAAACTGGAAGAATCAGTTGTATAGAACAACAGTATATACATCAGAAGACGATGGACCTCTGTTTCCTTTGGCTAATGTGTGGGTGAAAATTGATCAGGGTTGCATTTCTGTTATTCCTGATGGAAATGGACTGTGGACGTAGGGGGAGAATAACAGTACACTTGTGACACGTGTGATTGCACCAAGATAGTAGAACAAGAAGACAAAGGGTTTAGAGTTGAAAAGGACGATTTCAGGACAG